AAATCAGCCTATGTGACCATAAAGCTTGACGGCAAGAAGGTCGCCAAGACGACACGTGAGCAAGGGCGCATTTGGAACCAAACTTTCCAAGTCCTCTGCGCCCACCCGCCGGACTCGAAAATCACAATAACCCTTAAACAAAAGCGCTCGGTTTTAGGCAGCATCGACATCGAGGCCCACAAGCTGCTAGGCAACTCGAGCCTGATAAACGGGCTTTTCCCGCTAAGAAAAACAAACGGAATGCCCAGCAAGGCACTTAAGCTTCAGTTCCTCGTGTGGTTCAAGCCCGCTGACAGTGAAACGGGCTGGGACAAGGCCCTGTCGACCGATGGTGGGTACAAAGGGCTTAAAAATGCGTCTTTTCCCATGCGGTCGAATTGTGGGGTAACTCTGTATCAAGATGCTCATCACGGGCCCACGTTCAGACCACCGGAAAATCTTTGCGGGACGGTTAGGAAACTTTGGGAGGACGTGTATAACGCCATTGATGGCGCCAAGCATTTAGTCTACATTGCAGGCTGGTCATTTAATCCTCAATTAGCCTTGGTGAGTGCCTTATACAAACAAGCATTGAAGTGATATGCATAGGCAAAAATGCATTTTTAATCCTGGTTTAACATCATATACTTTTAGTCTCAAGATTTCAACTTTTCGCATTTTAATCCTGTGATTTAATATTCTGCTGAAATTGCAATCAAAATTTAAATTACATGACTGAAATTGCTAATAAAAAATCTGGGAATTGCAGCAAAAATTGAAATGTTTGAACATTGGAACGAAAATTGCCGTGACGTTAAACCAAGACTAAAAATGCAAGTATATTACTAGTAACTTTACTCGATAATATAGCGTCCGTTTTTTTTTTTTTTTTTNTCGCGAAACTGACATTCCACTTGCTCGGGGCGTGAAGCTAGGCGAGCTACTCAAGCGTAAAGCCGAAGAAGGCGTGGCCGTGAGAATCCTCTTATGGGACGACGAGACATCGCTACCCTTCATAAAAAACAAAGGCATCATGAAAACGCACGACGAGTACACCGTCTCCTACTTCAAGCACACTAAGGTCGTATGCCGTTTATGCCCTCGTCTACACGACAAGTTCCCCACGGCCTTCACCCACCACCAAAAGACCATCACAACCGACTCGCGGGCCCGCGAGATCGTGAGCTTCGTCGGCGGTCTCGATTTATACGACGGGCGTTACGACACGACAGATCACTCCCTCTTCCGAACGCTGAACGACGACGAGTCCCACTACTTCGACTTCTACCAGACGAGCCTCAAAGGTGCGAGCCTCGACAAGGGTGGACCGCGCGAGCCTTGGCATGACACGCACGCGCGCGTGACGGGCCGTGCCGCGTGGGACGTGCTTTCGAATTTCGAGCAGAGGTGGACGAGGCAGTGCGACCCGTCGTTGCTAGTCCCGACAAATTCCATTCGGGAGCTAACTATTATAGACGGCGAGCAGAGGAGGAATTGGAACGTGCAAGTTTTCCGGTCGATCGACCGCGCCTCGATTGTCGATGCTCGATTTCCGGTCGAGAGAAGCATACACGAGGCGTACGTGGAGGCCATAAGGAGAGCCGAGAGGTTCGTGTACGTCGAGAACCAGTATTTCGTCGGGGGATGCCACATGTGGGAACGGAACAAGAATTGTGGGTGTGGGAACTTGATCCCGGTCGAGATCGCGTTGAAAATCGCTCGGAAAATACGGGCCGGGGAGCGTTTCGCGGCGTACATTGTGGTGCCAATGTGGCCCGAGGGCCCGCCTGAGAGCGAGTCGGTTCAAGACATTCTGCATTGGGCTCGGGAGACTATGAAGATGATGTACGGGATTGTGGGGGAGGCGTTGACGGAGAGCGGCGGGAAAGGGCACCCGAGGGATTATTTGAATTTCTTTTGCCTCGCGAATCGGGAAAATGAGGCGAAAGGGGAGTTCGCGCCGCCGTATAGTCCGCATCACGGGACGAATTATTGGAATGCTCAGAGGCATAGGAGATTCATGGTTTATGTGCACTCTAAGCTCATGATAGGTTATTTCTCATATTCTGAAAACAGGACAAATTTAGTATATACTTTTATGTTGACTAATTTACTTGTTTTCGTTCGTTTTTTTTTTTTAGTGGACGATGCGTATCTTCTGATAGGATCGGCCAACGTGAACCAGAGATCAATGGACGGCAAACGAGACACGGAGATAGCCATAGGCTGCTACCAGACAAGAAACGAGGAAAAAAACGAGACCGGAAATGGAGACGTTCGTGCGTTTCGCATGTCTCTATGGTACGAACACACTGGAATAGCCGAAGAAATCTACAGAGAGCCTCAGAGTTTAGAGTGCGTGCGCAAGATTCGGTCCATAGGGGATAAAATGTGGAAAATCTACAGTCAATATGAGGTGCAAGATATGGAAGGCGTGCATTTAGTGACTTACCCGGTGAGCATAACAGAGACGGGTTGTGTCGAGGATTTAGTCGAGGGAGATGGCTGTTTTCCGGACACGAAAACGCCGGTTAAGGGGAAAAGATCGAAAGTGTTGTCTTCTATATTCACCACATGATGAGAGAAAAAGAGACATTGTGAAGTTTGGATATTTGCTCTGCATGGAGAGATTAACAGATTTAACTAATATTTGAACAAATAAGATGAGGTAAAGAGTATTGAATCATGTGTTACTGATTGTCGATTGTTTCTTATGCATGATATCTTGCTCAAGAACCAGATCATAAATCCATTTATTATTTGTAATATTGCCTCACAAAGTGAACTATCAACAACAGACATTTTGGAAAGACAAGACATTTATCGAAATTTCATAGAAATATGTACAACCCATTTACTTATCTCAACATTTTTTTGGGAAAATTACATACATATATCTCTATATAGATATATTTACATATATACTTTTGGTAGAAAATTTAATCAAAAGAGGATTGAGTAGTGTTTTTTTTTTTTTTTTCATTTGTACGAGATAATGCTTCAAATCAAGAGATCCGTTACTCTCTCTCTCCATATAGTGATTATGGAGCAGATAATGCTTCCAATCAGGAGTTTGACCATCCATTTCTCCTAAATTGGATCTGGAAAATCAATTTCTAGAGCAAATTTATCTAAAAATATAAAAAGGTGGAATGACCTTTCATTAGATGTTATTTGCTGATTATAATACATTTTTGGTACTTTATAATTTGTGTTTTTAAATCTCAGTGATGGTGTTGATGAAAAACTAAACATTTTTTTTTTTATTATAATCTGTTTATGACTTGAAAGTATTTCGTTGTGTTTATGAACACTAATGTTTGTTTTTTAATTTTTTTTTTCGGCTTCATCTGTCAAAATTCTAGAGACGTAGAACCAGAATCCACATTGATTTCGTGCGTATTGATTAGTTTTACAAATCTATTTTTGTATATCTAAACGTAATATAAACAGTAAGTAAACACAATTTTATTCTTGTAATCTTGAATATTTATTTAGTAGATCTGTTTATTTTACAGGAACATGACTGATGTGAATACGTTTATGCATTACAGTGGAGTCTGGATCAACAATGAATACGTGTACTATCTAGTCGGAGGTATCTTCATTAGTAAATTATGTGACTACAATCAGCTCCGAGATATTGTGTTTTATAGACTAAAAATAAACGCAGTATTCAAATGATCTTGATATGAAGTATCAAGTGAAGGATGGATATCCACCTATGAGTGTGAATGACCTGTTTCATGTCTTTCCTTTTGGAGTAAAACTGGACCATACCGAGGAATATAGGGATGAGAGTAGAATAGCATCTAACACCATTGAAGATAATATTGTCAAACTCTTCCGATCGACAAGAATTATATACAAACTAGCCTCCTCACACCAAGAGACAATCGTCCCAGTACCCAATGTCCAACATCATTTAGTTCAACATGAATGGGAAAGAACACACACAAGTATCATAACCTTTTGAAAGGTAAAAGTTATACAGAAATTTGATCTTCTGATCAAATAGCACGTCGGCGGTGGTGTACTGTACGACCTCAAAAGAACCATATGGTCCGAGTTTTCTGAGATAATAGAATAAAACATCCATATGCTGAAGAGGCATGAAAAGACAAAGTTTAGTAGATATCTTGAAAATTTTGCTATAAAACGATAGACATGTATACTAAAAATAAACATTAGATAAACATGTAGTTCTTCATAGGACAACAATGTATACTAAAAATAAACATTAGGTAAACATGTGCATACTCATACAAGTTTTAGAATATACAGTTGGTAAACATTAAAATATACTCTCTCAAATAGTAAGCATTATTTTTTACACTCATTTTCAACATTACATTTAATATCTCAACCTTCAATACTGGAAAGGAAATAGGAATAAAAAAAAATGACATTGGTAAGCAGATCTTTCAAACTCATTTACTTTCTCCTCATAATCCTCACTCTTGGGACTCTCATTGCCACTGGCCTGTGCATCAAATTCCTCCATAGAGACTCCATTCAATTTCTATTTTACACCCGAAACCGAACCGAAAGACTCAAACTCCTCCTTCATACATTATCATCATAAAACATCAGAACCAAGATTTTCTTAAAAAATCATAATAGATCACAAAACAAAATCTCGACCTCGATTCGCCCGATACTCGACAACTAGTATCTAATGTACATGGTCCAGGTCAGCATTGTCCGTGTAACTTAAGAAAATTGAGTTAGTGAAATTGATCGTGAAAATATATTTAGATATACTGTATATGTACATAAGATAAACGACATGTAAAAATGCATGTAAATTAACCGTATAGTTATACATAAGATAAATAACATATAAACATTACAAACGAGATAAAATATAACATGCAATTATGAATAAAACATAACATAATTATGATTGACTGCAATATGATTAAACTTAAGATAAACAAACAATATATAAACACAAAACATCTTACAACTAAGCCACATGTACAATTAAACATATCTAATCTAAACCAAATCTCGAACCCTATTCTTGTTGGAAATAAGAAGAATCAAGGGGTTAGATGCGTCAAACTTTGGGATGTCCGAGCCAATGTCACTGTCGTCATTTGATACATCAGCACCCACATCACTGGAATATGGTTCCTCCTCCTCTTCAAGTTGGAAATCCGAATCGGATATATCAACATTTTTCAATTTAACCTGTTTTCCTCGAACCCTATTCTTGTTGGTGTCGTCTGACACCTTTTTTTTTATTTTTTTATTTTACATTCGGAGACAAAATCGTTGGCGACGTCCGACTCACCGTCCGCGGTCTTCGGAATAGAATTTTTGCCACGATTCGAAGCCTCAATTTTCTGAAATTGGAGCTTTTTTTGTACAACCTTGCGCTCGGGAGGTTGAAATTACGATTTTTGACGAGATTGAGAGCGGGTTATCCTTACTTCGTCTTCAATATCAGATGGTTTGGCCTCAATTTTTGTTCGCTTCGACATTGTTCTATCACTGAGATTGGAGCTTTTTCTGTGTATGAGATATTCAAGCTTTTATGTGAATGAGAGATGAGAGAGATGAGAGATTTTTTTGTGAGAGATAATTTCTTAGCACTGTACTCGAGGAGTGATATATTTTCTATTTTTNAGTGTAAAGGTGATAAGGAAACCGCCTAATTGGGTGTAGTTGTTTTCAATTTTTGAAACCGCCTAAATTAACATCACTCATCCGTTAAATCAGCCAAAAAATAACCGACTAATCTATTATTAATATTATGTTAATTATCATAGATCATATAAATTTGATGAAAGAACTATTTGATCGTAAAATTGATATTATTTAGATCAGGGATTGTAAGAAGGGTAAATTTCTCACATTTTTTTATCTGCATAAGATGTAAAACCCCTTTGTGTGAGTTATGTATTTCTATAAAGGATAAACTTCTCCAGCTATGATTTCAAGCTGAAATAAGTTTCTCTTATATTCAACTTTAAAGTTGAACTACCTTTCCATCTCATGTAATTTCCATTTCATTTACAAGCTGAAATAAGTTTCTCTTATATTCAACTTTAAAGTTGAACTACCTTTCCATCTCATGTAATTTCCATTTCATTTACAAGAACGGGAAAAGTCTTTGCCTGAAAGAAAAGCTAAGAGAGAGACTATTTGTATAATAGGGGGGCCACAGGGCCATAAAAATCTCCCCATAATGTTTTACTTTGAAAGCTGGTCGGATTTTGGCCGGAAAAAAATTACAAACGGCAAAGAATTTTCTCCAATAACTCGCTTTGAATTAAATTTTTTATGTTTTGCATATAGGAGGATTATATTTTGTCTACAATCATTTGTTAAAAGTATAATAGTTGTACTGTACATTAAGATAATAAAAAAGAATTCAAATAATGCAAAGAAGAATAAATAAAAATAAAAATAGAAAAAATGAAGGTTTGAAAGCTACAAGCATTTTCAAAAAGGTAGCCAGTCTGCTACAGCCATTTTCAAAAAAGACAGAACATGAATTCAAATTTAACTAATTGTGGAAAGAGATTAGCAGTACAATAGGGGCCACAGAGCCATACCTGTCTTCCAATAATTGACGAGATTCATTGGACAATTTTTGTGGTTTCAGTTGTCTATCTATCTATCTATCCACCCAAAAACTGTTGTTTCAACAAATATTTTTTTCTGAAAGCTAATCGGATTTTGGCCGGAGAAAAAAAAAAAAAAATTCAAAATGGCAGCAGCCTATGCAGCTCTCCGTTCTCTTGAGCAAACCATAGCCCAGATACAGAGTCACCCTCGCCCTCCCATTTCTCTTGACAAAACAAAAACTAAATCTCTCCCTGAAATTATCATCTTCTTGCTTCACTCTCTCGAAAGTTATTCGTTTCTTGACAGCCAAGAAGCAGATGCTCTGGAGGCACGTATGGCCGATGCAGCTTATGCGGCAGAAGATTTGATCGAATCCCACATCGTCAATCACATGAGCGGAAGACTCGCAAGATTGAGGGGCACGAACGTAACATTTACAAAGTGCAAAAATAAATAAAAAGACATTTATTCTATGCATGTTCTTATATATTATATCACTCCTAATTACATAAATTCAAATCTCATTAAATATTTTTTTTTTTTTTCAAATACCAATATTTTTTTTCTTTTGAATTAGATATTCTTACAACGTCCGCATTCATGGACTTCTTTATAAAGATAAATATTTTATTAGTTAAAAAATCAACGATAAACACAATTTAGTAGCTAATTTTAAACTTATAATTATAATTTTTAGAACGCCTAATTCAATATGTATCAAAATCAATGTTGACTTTTATGGAAAATCGATGTAACTCATTTATATATGTTGCCTACAACATAATACAAATACAAAATGCAAACAACTCAAATTTTGAGAAAATTTCTTTGTAATTTTTTTACAATATAATTATATATGTACTAATTTTTTTTTTTAAAATTGCACAGAGGCCCGTGCCCCTACGGGCCCCTTCTTAGGTCCGTCCCTGGTCAATCAGATGCAAGCTCTACAGAAAGTGATAGATGAAATGGAACTCATTCAGACCGTTGGTGGTGATGATGTTGGTAGCTCATTAAGAGGATCTCCTTCTTCGCTAAGGCTCAATAATAAGATTCAAGCTATTTCAGAAAATCTCAATTCCAATGTAGACTTGTTGTACGAAGGTCTACAAAAAGTGACAGATGAAATGGAGGTCATTAAGAATGAGGTTATAGAGATTCAAATACAGAACTTGGGAATCAGAAAGTTTTCATCACCTGCCACTGATGCTTCATTTAGAGGATCTCCTTCTTCAATGGGGCAGACTGACAATTCCATGGTAGGATGTGATGATGTCATGACTGATGTCATGGATAAGTTGATAAGCGGACACTCCAGCCGGATCATCCCCATTGTAGGCATGGGTGGCATTGGTAAGACCACTCTCCCTAAAAACATATATGAGAATCAAGTAATTGTGGAATACTTTGATTTACGTTGTTGGGCCACGATTTCTCAAGACTATGATTCGAAAGAAATTCTCTTTGAAATCCTCTCTAAAACTGACGACAGTAGGGAAAACTTGATAATAGGAGAGAAGTTGCACAAAACTTTATATGGCAGAAGGTATTTGGTGGTGATGGATGACATGTGGAACATCGAGGCATGGAACAAGGTGAGATTCTACTTTCCGAACAATGGTGAAGGGAGCAGAATAATGATAACCACTAGGCTGACAGACCTGGCTTTTGAGTTAACTGGCTCGTGCGGCCTGCAGAAGATGAGTTTTCTAGATAATGACTGCCGTTGGAACCTATTCTGCAAAACTGTGTTTGGGGAACCCTGCCCTTCCAAACTGGAGAAAGCAGGACAGAGAATCACGAAATCCGGCAAAGGGCTTCCCTTATCAATCAAAGTGATTGGAGGTCTGCCGTCAAAGCACAAAGAATCACGCGAATATTGGGAGTACGTCATGGGAAACTTCAATGCAGTCTTGAATACGGAAGATGATGAGCGCTGTTTAAAAATACTAAGCCTGAGTTATATGAAGTTGCCCATACACCTAAAGCCTTGTTTCCTATACATGGCAGCTTTTCGGGAAGATGGTGTGATTCCTAAATCAAAGCTCATCAAACTGTGGGTTGCGGAGGGATTTCTGAAACCAATTAATGGAAAAAATATAGAGTTGTTGCAGAAGAATACTTGGGGGATCTTTTGAACAGAAACCTGATCCTAGCTCACAAATTGGGGCTCACAGGGAATATAAAATCTTTCAAAATCCATGATCTCCTGAGGGAGCTGTGCATAAAAGAAGCTCAGAAAAACAAGTTTATGTGCATACGAAGGCTAGGTGATCCCAGAATCCAACAAGACATCCAAAGCCAACGACGCATTAGTTTGCATCTGAGCATGAGCAGTAATTTCAATACAGAAATTGGTCCCTTTCAATCTTCTTCACTCCGTTCTATCATATGGGATTGCGAGACGTTGCATCCGAGATTAATGCCCAACCTTTGTTTTAAATTATTGAGGGTACAAATGATGCTATCACCCAGCCTTGGCACGATTTTAGGGGTTGGGAATATTATGTTGCCTGCCAACTCACGGCTTCTAGATCTTGAAAACCACTTTGGCATGCCCCACATTCCAGCTAACCATCTCTGGAATATACAGACATTGGCATCAACACCAAGGTTTCATGCACAAATTGACATTTGGGAAATGCCTCAGCTTAGGCATGTCAAGTGTCATAATGGTTTACGCCTCCCGGATCCGACTCCTCATCACGAGGAAGGCGGTGATTTGATAGAAGTTTTGGAGAACCTACTGACGCTTAAGACAGTAGTGAATTTCAAGTGCAGCCAAGACGTGGTTAAGAGAATCCCCAATGTCAAGAAATTGACGATAAAAATCGAGGTACCCCACAGAGAAGATTACTGTCTCAACAATCTATGTCAGTTACAAAAGCTGGAAACCCTTCGTTGCATATATTCAAAATCGAGATACAAGCGGAGAAACCGGAGATACAGGCAGGCGAACCGAAAAAAGGAGATAAAGCAGGAATCCATTAATTTGAACACTGCAATAAGACCAAGTGAATCGGATTGGGAGCTCAGCTTACCGGATTAGCTCAGGAAGTTGACTTTAGAGGGCATTCGGATGAGTTGGGAAAAGATGGGGACGAAGATAGGCTTGTTTCCTTATCTTCAAGTGCTTAAACTGAGGAGTTGCTCATTAGAACGTGAATGGGAAACAGTTGAGGGTCAATTCGGGAGACTCGAGTACTTGGAGATTGAGAGCTGTAATGATCTGATGCAATGGAGGACATACAGCACACACTTTCCGTGCCTCGTGAAACTTGTTCTTCTGAGTTTAGACAACTTGGAGGAGATTCCTCATGGGATTGGAGATATATCGACTCTTGAGTCGATCGAGGTGCTTTTCTGTAGCCAATCTGTCTTGGCCTCTGCAAAGGAGATACTAAAGGAACAACATGATCTTGGGAATGAAAGCTTTCGACTCAACTAAGTTGCATCATTGTAAGTACCCAGCTAGTTACTTCTCTTGAAACACTTCGTTTCATATATTTCGACTCTTGTAGCTGTTTATACACCAATATTCTAAATTATTTTGTAGTACAATTTCTAATTTATTCCAGTGGACGACGCGTATCTTATGATAGGATCAGCCAACATGAACCAGACAAGAAACGAGGAAAACGAGACTGGAAATGGAGACATTCGTGCGTTTCGCACGTCACTGTGGTACGAACACACTGGAATAGCCGAATAAATCTATAAAGAGGTTTGATGCTTGTATTTGGATATTAGCTCTCAATACAGAGATTTCATGCTTGTGTTTGATGCTTGTATTTGGATATTAGCTCTCAATACAGAGGTCACAGAGGTTTGATGCTTGTATTTGGAGATGTAAAAAGTATTGAACCATGTGTTACTGATTGATTAAGGTCATAAATCCATTTATGTGAAGGAAAAGGTTATCACTCAGTAATTTTTTTTTAGTATCTATCTATCTATCTATACAACTAAAGTGCACGTGGAATACATGTAATACGTAATTTATATTTTTGTGTGATTTTAGTTACGTTTTTTAATATTTATATGATTTATTCATTTTTTTTTGCATTATTATATGTTATTAATAAAACAAAATAAGTATATTACATAATGTGTCAGTATATCGTAATTTAAAAGTTATATAATGATTATTTTTAAGAGTTAAAATAAAAAGGAGCAGACGAAGGAAAAATTGGGGTTTCTAAAACCAACCAGTGGTATAAGTTTGGAGATTGTGGCAGAAGAATACTTACAGGACCTTGTGGACAGAAACCTTGTATTAGTTCATAAGTTGGGTTCCACTGGGAATATAAAATGTTGCAAACTCCACTTGAAAGAATCTCAGAAAGATAAGTTTCTCTGTATACAGCGGCCACACGATCCCAAAATCCAACGGCGCATAGATTTTCACACATTCGCTCTGAAAGTTGACTTTTTATGGGGCGTTGAGTCGAGTTGGGAAGAGATGGAGACAAAGGTTGGATCTTTGCCGCAACTTCAAGTGCTTAAACAGCGGCTTTGCCAGTTTGGAGAACAACCGGTGGTCAATTCCAGCAGCTCAAGTGCTTGAAAATTATCAACTGTCCTGATCTGATTAACTGGATTACAGACAGCACAGACTTTCCGTGCCTCGAGCAACTTTATCTTGAGGGATTATATAGGCTGGAGGAGATTCCTCGAAAGATTGGAGATATAAAGACTTTGAAGTCGATTGTGATTGATTATTGCACCAAGTCATGAACAAGGGGAACTTGGCAACGAAGGCCTTCACCTGAGAGCTTTTGGCACACGAGTAAACAGGTAAAAGTAAACAGGTAAAATTTGCACATCATAAAAAAATAAGAAAAACGAGAAATAACTGATATTTCGAAACCAAATAACCCGTGTTGCTCACATTACAAACGAGAAATAACTGTTACTTCTTTATTTTTTTAGAATGTTTAAAACTTGAAATCCATTTAATGTTTGCAAGCTCAATCAATCAAAATATTTAAATACATTTTCTTGTATATAGTGACATGAAAAATGAAAATGATAAGTAATAATTATTTTTACGCTTATATATATATCTATATGTTAAAACAACTGATGCATATCAGAAACATTATTACAAATATAAAAACATTTTTTTCATTGGTATTCAAGACTTCTCCTAACCATGAAATAAAAAGAACTCCGTTCTAGGTCAAATGAATTTATATATTAGATAGTCTTTTATGTTTTATTCTTATTTTGATATTGGATTCATATCTTCATCAATAAAATCTTTAAGAATTCTATATTATATTTATTTCTTTTAACAAATAAAAATGTAGTTTTGGTAAAACCAAAGATCTTTAATTTACATGTTAGATCAAATTCTGATTATCATATAAACATATAAAAAAAATAATAATCATGCATTAACCTCAAACCATCATCTGTTAAAACTTAAAAGGATAATAGTTGTACAGTACATTAAGATAAATCAAATAATACAAAGAAAAATAAATAAGAAATAAGAAAAAGGTTTGAAAGCTAGATGCATTTTCAGAAAGGTATCTACCCTGCTACAAGCATTTTCAAAAAGAAAAAACATGCATTCAAATTTAACTAATTGTCCAAAGAGAGTAGCAGTATAATAGGGGCCATACCTGTCTTCCACTAATTGAAGACACTTTTAGACATCTTGACTGGAAAATTTATGTGGTTTCAGTTCTCTATCTATCCACCCAAAAACTGTTGTTTTCCAGAACATATTTTTCTGAAAGCTGATCGGATTTTAGCCGGAGAAAAAAAAAAATCAAAATGGCAGCAGCCTATGCAGCTCTTCGTTCTCTTGAGCAAACCATAGACCAGATACAGAGTCACCCTCGCCCTCCAATTTCTCTTGACAAGACAAAAACTAAATCTCTCACTGAAATTATCATCTTCTTGCTTCACTTTCTCGAAAAATATTCTCTTGTCGGCAGCCAAGAAGCAGATGTGCTGGAGGCACGTATGGCCGATACAGCTTATGCGGCAGAAGATTTGATCGAATCCCACATCGTCAATCAGATTCAAGCTCTTTCCGGAAATCTTCATTACGACAGCGACTGGTCAAGTGAGTCGTCGAGTGAAGATCTAAAGAAAGTGACAGATGAAATGGAACTCATTAAGACCGTTGGTGGTGATGGTGTTGGTGGTTCATTAAGTGGATCTTCTTCATTGGGGCTCAACAATCAGATTCAAGCGCGTGCGGAAAATCTCAATTCCAATGATGACGTGTCGAGTGAAGATCTACAGAAAGCGACAGATGAAATGGAACTCATTAAGAACGTTGACGGTGATGATGTTGGTGGTTCATTAAGAGGATCTCCTTCAATGGGGCTCAACAACAAGATTCAAGCTGGTGCCGCCAATCTCAGTTCCAATGTTGACTTGTTGTACGAAGGTCTACAGAAAGTGACAGAAGAAATGGAACTCATTAAGAATGATGTTACAGAAATTCAAATTCAAAAGTTGGGAATCAGAAAGTTTTCATCACCTGCCACTGGTGGTTCATTTAGAGGATCTCCTTCTTCACTGGGGCACACGGTCACTTCCGTGGTAGGATGTGATGATGTCATGTTTGCCGTCATGGACAAGTTGACTAGCCAACACTCCAGCCAGATCATCGCAATAGTAGGAATGGGCGGCATTGGTAAGACCACTCTTGCTAAGAGTATATATGTGAATCTGCTTATTGTGCAACACTTTGATTTACGTTGTTGGGCCACGATTTCTCAAGACTATGATTCGAAAGAAATTCTCTTTGAAATCCTAAATTCTTGCATGAAAACTCAAGACAGTAGGGAAAACTTGAGAATACTTAGTGAAGATGAGTTAGGAGAGAAGTTGCACAAAACTTTATATGGCAGAAGGTATTTGGTGGTGATGGATGACATGTGGAACATCGAGGCATGGAACAAGGTGAGATTCTACTTTCCGGACAATGGTGAAGGGAGCAGAATAATGATAACCACTAGGCTGTCAGACCTGGCTTCTGAGTTGACTGGTTCGTGCGGACTGCAGAAGATGAGTTTTCTAAATGATGTAAGCAGTTGGAACCTATTCTGTAAAACTGTGTTTGGGGAAGATGGTTCCTGCCCTCCCAAACTGGAGGAAATGGGACAGAGAATCACGAAATCCTGCAAAGGGCTTCCCCTATCAATCAAAGTGATTGGAGGTCTGCTGTCACAGCACAAAGAATCGCACGAATATTGGGAGTACGTCATCGGAAACTTCAACGCAGTCTTGAATTCAGAGGATGACAAGCTCTGTTCAAAAATACTAAGCCTGAGTTATATGGAGTTGCCCATGCACCTAAAGCCTTGTTTTCTTTACATGGCAGTTTTTCGGGAAGATGGTGTGATTCCTAAATCAAAGCTCATCAAGCTGTGGGTTGCGGAGAGATTTCTCAAACCAATTACTGGAAAAATTATGGAGATGGTTGCAGAAGAATACTTGGGGGATCTTTTGAATAGAAACCTCATCTTAGCTCACAAAATGGGGATCACAGGGAGTATAAAATCTTTCAAAATCCACGATCTCCTGAGGGACCTGTGCATAAAAGAAGCTGAGAAAAACAAGTTTATGTGCATAAGAAGGGAAGATGATCCCAGAATCCCGCAAGACTTCCAAAGCCAACGACGCATTGGTTTTCATCCGAGCATGAGCAGTCAGTTCAATACAGAAATTGGCCCCTTGCAATCTTCTTCACTTCGTTCTCTATTATGGGATTGTCAGAAAGTGTCTGTGAGATTAAGCAACCTTAGTTTCAAATTATTGAGGGTAATAATGATGATGTCTCCCGCCTCTTACATGCATTTAGTGATGAAAAGAATTACGTGGCCTGCCAACTCACGGCTTCTTTATGTTGTCAACTCTTTCTTTAGCACATCCCCTTTCTCAGCTTACCACCCCTGGAATCTACAGATATTGGCATTAAGGTGTGAATGTGATACAGAAATTGACATTTGGAAAATGCCTCAGCTTAGGCATGTCAAGAGTGACAATGGTTTGCGCCTCCCGGATCCGACTCCTCAACACGAGGAAGGCGGTGATTTGTTAGTAATTTTGGAGAACCTACAGACGCTCAAGACAGTAGTGAATTTCAAGTGCAGTGAGGACGTGGTCAAGAGAATTCCCAACATCAAGAAATTGGCGTTACAATACAGTGTACCCCACAGAGAAGATTACTGTCTCAACAATCTATGTCACTTACAAAAGCTGGAAACCCTTCATTGCAAATATTACTTCGAAACACAAGATTCAAGTGAATGGCTGCTTCGTAGTTGGTTCTTACAATCTTCAAGTAAATCACTGCTTCGTAGTTGGTTCCCTGAAATAAGACAAAGTGAACCGGATTGGGGGCTCAGCTTCCCAAATTCACTCAGGAAGTTGACTTTAGAGGGCATTCAGATGAGTTGGGAAAAGGTGGGGGAGAAGATAGGCTTGTTGCCACATCTTCAAGTGCTTATACTATGGAGATGCTCGTTAGAACGTGAATGGGAAACCGTCGAGGGTCAGTTCAGCAGGCTCAAGTACTTGCGGATTGTGAGCTGTGATGATCTGATACAATGGAGGACATACAGCACACACTTTCCGTGCCTCGTGAAACTTGTTCTTCTGAGTTTAGACAACTTGGAGGAGATTCCTCGGGAGATTGGAGATATAACGACACTTGAGTCGATCGAGGTGACTTTTTGTAAGCACTCTGTCTTGGCCTCTGCAGAGGAGATACTAACGGAACAACATGAGCTAGGGAATGAAAGTTTACGACTCTTTGTAGACACTCTGCCTTGGCCTCGGCCCTCGGCAGAGGAGATTCTTGAGAAGGAAAGTTTTCGATTCAACTCATTCATTCCCATCTAATCATTCATTCCCATCCAATCAAAAAAAAAAAAGAAAAAAAAAATCGGGATGGTTTTGGTGGATTTAAGTTGTATCATTGTATGTACCAGCTAGATCTCTCGTACTCTTCACTGTCTTAGTATTATAACTTGTAGCTGATTATACAGCAATATCCTAAACTATTTTGTATTACAATTTCTAAAAATTCTCTTGGAAAGTTTCCTAAATAGTGGCCCACAAAAAAAAAATGAGAAGGAAACAGTAGAAAAAAGAAGGTGATTTATCAGTGCGATTTTGTATCATCACCCATTCTCTTCAAGTTTTTGGTTTCAAATTGATAACTTATTTTATGTTTTCCCTTTCATGTATCTTTGAAATAGAATCAATATATTAATCATAAGGTTGTGTAGGGAATGAACTCTGTATCTCTTTATAGTGACTGAAAAGTGAAAACTAATTAAGTGGAGGAAAGTAAAACCCAAGAATGGGATTAGAAATGAAAAGAAAAGGTTTTTAAAAGTTAATATTTATTGAAGAATTAATAACGTAGTGTTACAATATTACTACTAGTTATAGACATGTGAAATGCATAACCATATAGTTCATGCAGAATAACTATTATTGTTTAAATATGGGGCATGCAATTTCTAGTTTGCTATAATACACACGCAGTTTTTTTTTATTATTTTTTTGTCAATCATTAATTTCAAAGTTATATAAATAAATTCCGCAGAACAATTACTTTTAAACTATTAGATTATCCGAATTGATTTATTAGCAAAAATATACTATTCACAAAAAGGGGAGGAAATGTAGAAAAACTATATAGAATTAAAAATCATTATGTCTAGTATATTTTGACTGGTAAAATCATAGCAACAATTAAATATCCAAATGAGTAACAATTACCATTAAGTTTCTCATAAAATTAGATTTATCAAAAACAAAATTCTTTGTGAACAAAATATTAAAATCTGAAAAAAATTATGTTTGATGTGACTTGAAAAATATACTATTCACAAAAAGGGGAGGAAATGTAGAAAAACTATATAGAATTAAAAATCATTATGTCTAGTATATTTTGACTGGTAAAATCATAGCAACAATTAAATATCCAAATGAGTAATAATTACCATTAAGTTTCTCATAAAATTAGATTTATCAAAAACAAAATTCTTTGTGAACAAAATATTAAAATCTGAAAAAAATTATGTTTGATGTGACTTGATATGATATCCATTCTAGCTCGGCAGACCGGTTAGAGTGGTTAGCTTGAATTAGTCGGCCCAGGATAGCTTCTAGCTCAGTAGTAGGGTTTGACCTGTCAAGGACTCGAGGTACGGGTCAACTCTAGTAGCGAGCTAGCAGGCTGGACAAGGAGCTCAATATGACTGCCGATCATAGGCTTACGACCCTCCTGGGCCCGAAACCGATGGTTCAAAATTTTCGATTCCTAGTCGGGCTTCTGACCCGTGGTCAACTGGTAGTTCAGCGGGCCGGTTCGGAACTTTGGCCATTTCTAAGCAAATAACTCATATGATGCATTAGATTACCACAATTACTATCCCCCTGTATATAAATGTCGAATGAGTTGAGCTTAAGTGGCACACACGCATGCTTCGGAATCCTATGTGGCTATGTGGCAAAATACTATGCTCCGTAGCTAGGCTTAGATATAAATTAATATTTTTTAAAAAATAATAATTAGGCTTGGATTGCGGAAAATATCTTATTCATACTAAAACTATGCTCCAAATCCCTTCTTTCTTTTTTATACAATTAGTTACCATAAACTCTTTTACGTTTCTTTTTCCTACATTACCATATATTATATTTCCTTTTCTTATTAAATTCATACACCAATTATTATAAATGTGTTTTCTTCTTATTTTTTAAATTTTAGATCTTTTTTGTTTGTATTTTGAGTTTTTTATATGATATATCATATTTATTATCTTTTAACGTCTTCGATTTGACATCTATATTACATATATAAATACAAAACAATGATATACATCCTTATAAATAAATTTTAAATTAATTTATCAAACTAAATTTTAAAATAAGAAAAACAAATTTGATTTATATTAACATAATATAAAATATTTATCTAATTGAAAAGAATATATATAAAATAAGTATTAACATAAAATAAATATATAAAAAATATTTTAAAATTTATGTCTCAACTAAAATAAAAACTACAAAAAGATTGAATATTATAATGATATCAAAAGTTAAAAAATTGTTAATTATAGATAAAAATAATTATTATATTTCATAAATTTTGAAAATATTACACTCATACACATTATATTTTAAATTATTGAATATTATAGAGTTGAATATTTAAAATATAATAGATGAGGAAAGAAAAATGTGCATATAAAATATTAATCAAACTTTAAAAAAAAAAATTAATTAATTCAAAATAAAACTATTGAGTTGTAGATAATACACACAAGTATGTGTAATATTAAAATAATATATTTTAAGAAAATTATTTTAAAATATAGATATTATTTTAAATAATTAATTTTGTTAATTTTTAATTATTATTGTTAAATTTAATTTTTGTCATTATATTATAATAATATAAATTTCTTTACTTATTTCTTTTGATACAAATATTTTATTTTTATTTCGCACCCCTGTTGTTCACGGTCGTTATATTAACTGCATAATAAATTAATTATTCCATTTAATTTTAAAAAAATTGAGTATATCTTAAATAAAATAAATAATATTTTATATAAAATATTTTCTAGAATTTAAAATAATATCACAAATTCTTTTACTTTATTATTAATAATTCATAAATTTTATTTCACAATAAGAATTTTATTTCTTTTCATTCTTAGTTGCACAATTTATTTTTTCCTCAACACCCGTGTAGTTCACGGGCATTGTATTAATACAAATATTAGATTGGTATGTTATAAATAAAATAATACATAAATAACTTACATTTCATGATATAATTCTTTGTAAACAAACTATTTTTTTTATCTTCGGCTTCATAAACTAATTTTTTTTAATTTTTAGTATTAATGAAACAAAACATGTTTATTTTAAAAATATAGATTCTTTTGATTTCTTTCAATATTGTATTATATTATAAATGTTGCAAAATATTAAAAATTGCAAAACATGTTATTAGTGTATCTCTAATAATTTGTTCCAAATTGTTTTTCATACATTGTTTATCATTTTCACACATGAACCAAATATTGTTGTTAAAAATAATTTATTTATCTTATCATTAGATTTTTTATTATATATAATTGATCTATTATTTAATGTTATTTCTTATTAGCAATATAATTCTTAGCAATTTCATAATTATTATATCAATGATTTTTGTAACGTATAAATAAGTATAAAATTATAAATTGATGATATCATCTGTATAAGATTTGTATGAACGATTTTAGAAACTAGTACTCTTATTCTTTTGAAGTTTCAAATTTTAAAGTGATAACTAATTTCAGAGTGATAACTAAGTATCAAATTATTAAAACTCGTTACTGAAAATCATGAAAATTTGTAACTTTAAAATAATTATATAAAAATTAATCAAATAGTAAATATTATATATAACTATAAAAATATATGAAATTAATTATTACTTATTAGGGTGCTTTGGTGTTACTTATTTTTTTAATTAGAATCCTTTTATATTGGGGGCATAATTTGATTATAATTTTATCATTAAAAAATACTAAAAAGATTATTTAGTTTGAATGTTTTTCCATAAAGTAACTCCGTTCAGCAAAGAATATAATAAAGAATAAAAATAACAAATACGAAATAACTATGTTTTATGTATTTGTAAATTTGGAAGAATTAAATTTTAGATAGACTATAGATGATATCAATAACTTCCCAATGAAATGAGTAGTAAATAATTCTTTAATTTATTTGGTAAATAACAATTACATCTTACACAATTATCAAAATATATGACAAAAAAATTCTAAATATCCACTCTTATGTATGTTAGTTGTTATGTAAGTTAGTTATTATGTATGTTAGTTGCAGACAACATAGACAAAAGATGCAATACATTAATAAAAATTCAGATCATGTCAATTGAGTTTGAAGTTTCCGGTGATGGTTTACGAAAGTCAGGGACAATTTGTTTCTCAAATTTTTTTATACTAGAAGAATTTCATTTTTACTAATGGTCAACTCTATGTCGCTTTTTCACGAGTCACAAATAGAAAATAATTAAAATATTAATTTGTCTTTGTCGCTTTGTCACGACTAGAAAATGATTAAGAATATTGATTTGTGATGATGAAAAACAACACGGTATATAAAAAAATTATTTAATAATGTGTAGTCATCCATATGTATAAATTACACTTTATGTTTTAATGTTCTTTTATTCATGTGCAAATGTAACACACATTACTAGTGTATAATTAATCCAAATAAATAAATGACATTGATAGAATCATGAAAAGTGCCTTTTAAATTAAAATGTCGATGCCATAATCCTTGAAAATCTGAAATGATAAACTAATTATTAATTTATCAAAAAAGGCATTGAAAATTTTGTAATTTTGAAAATTTAAAATGATTAGATGCAAATTAAAAAAATATTAAATATTACAAAATATTAAAAATAAATAACAATATGTGAACTAATTATTATAAATAGATCAGCTTGGTCTTAATTATCCCTTAAATTAGAATGCATTCATATCAGGACTCATAAGTGTGATTACAATTTTCCATCAAAAATATATTAAACGCAAGGACTTTAGTCTATGCTATTTTTTACAAAAATAAATCATCATTTCAACAATGAAATCAAATAGTGCATAAAAATAATAAATTTAAAATAACTATTCTTCATTAATTTTAGTTTGGTTTTAATTATTCCTTAAATTAGAATACTTTTATATGGGACTTCTCAGTGTGATTACAATTTTCTATAAAAATATAATAAACACAAGGACTTTTAGCCTATGCTATTTTTTACAAAATAATTCATCATTTCAACAATGAAATCAAATAGTGTGTAAAAATAATAAATTTAAAATAACTATTCTTTAATTCTTATTTTATTGTGTTCATAATTTCTTGTGAAAAATACATTTTTTTGTTTCCATGTGTTCTTCTCTTAATATTTTATTTTTTCTTAAAGAATTTGTTGGTAATTTATATGGCATGTGTGTGTTTAAAATATAAAAATAATATAAAGGACGGGTCGGATCGGCCACTGGTGAAGGATGGGGAGATCAAGGACAGATGGCAAGAGTACTTCGACAAATTGTTTAATGGGGAGAGTGAGGGCCCTACCCTGGAGTTGGATGACTCATTTGAGGATATCAATAGACGCGTGGTGAGAAGAATTCGAGAGACAGAGATCGGAGAGGCTATGAAGAGGATGAAGGGAGGTAAAGCAATGGGCCCTGATGGTATCCCCATTGAGGTGTGGAGATGCTTGGGCGCCAGAGCGTTAGCATGGCTAACTAAACTTTTTAACCTCATTTTCCGGTCAAACAAGATGCCTGATGAATGGAGGAGAAGTACTTTAGTACCGATCTTCAAGAACAAGGGAGATGTTCAAAGCTGTGGTAACTACCGTGGGATTAAGTTGATGAGCCATACGATGAAGCTCTGGGAGAGGGTTATCGAGCATCGCCTACGACGAGTGACGAGTGTGACCCAAAACCAATTTGGGTTCATGCCTGGAAGGTCGACCATGACGGCGATTTTCCTAATACGTCAGTTGACGGAGAGATATAGGGACCAAAAGAAGGACTTGCACATGGTCTTTATCGACCTTGAGAAGGCTTATGACAGAGTACCGAGAAATGTCATGTGGTGGGCCTTAGAAAAGCACAAAGTCCCATCTAAGTACATTACCCTCATCAAGGATATGTACAAGGATGCGATGACGTGTGTCCGAACATGTGGGGGCGACACCAGCGACTTCCCAATTAAAATAGGACTACACCAGGGGTCAGCATTGAGCCCTTATCTATTTGCCTTGGTGATAGATGAGGTCACAAGGGATATACAAGGTGATATCCCTTGGTGTATGCTCTTTGCTGATGATGTGGTGCTAGTTGACGAGAGTAGAGCAGGGGTAAATAGGAAGTTGGAGCTGTGGAAGGACGCGTTAGAGTCGAAAGACTTCAGACTTAGTAGGACGAAGACCGAGTACATGACGTCCGCTTTCAGCATGGCTTCACATGATGATGGTGACGTTACCCTTGACGGGCAAGTGGTGGCCAAGAAGGAGACTTTCCGGTATTTGGGATCGATGCTACAAAAGGATGGCGGCATTGATGCTGATGTTAAGCATAGAATTGCAGCCGGTTGGTTGAAATGGCGTCAGGCGTCGGGCGTTCTCTGTGATAAGAGGGTGCCACAAAGGCTAAAAGGTAAGTTCTATAGGACGGCGATTCGCCCGGCGATACTATACGATGCTGAATGTTGGCCTACAAAAAGGCAACATGTCCAACAACTAAGTGTAGCAGAGATGCGTATGTTGCGTTGGTTCTGCGGGCACACAAGAAGGGATAGAATCCGGAATGAGGATATTCGAGATAGGGTCGGGGTAGCTCCAATTGAGGAGAAATTGGTTCAACATCGGCTGAGGTGGTTCGGACATGTCCAACGGAGGCCTCCTGATGCACCGGTGCGTAGGGGAGTTCTACAGCGAGTCGAGGATGTTAAGAGAGGTAGAGGTCGGCCTAAACTCACTTGGGAAGAGTCAGTTAAGAGAGACCTTATAGATTGAAATATCTCCAAGGATCTAGCGGTGGATAGGAGCGCTTGGAGGCTCGCTATCAACGTGCCAGAGCCGTGACTTTTGCTCCTTTCTCTCTCTCTCTCGTTTTTTTTTTCGATCTCTTCCTTTCGGTTCGAGTCTTTTTGTGTTTCTCTTGGGTTTCATCTCTAGCCTACCCCGACTTGCTTGGGACTAAAGGCTATGTTGTTGTTGTTGTTGTTGTTGTATACCTTTGGAATTGTATTCAATTTGTATTATAATATTTAATATATTAATATATATCTTATGGATTAAAGATAGTCATTCCCATTTTTCTCTTTTTTCTTCATACCTACTTAACAAAATATTCGAATATAATTCAATATTATCTATGAAGTTCTCATCTCCCTTTTTGATTTATTATTAATTTTAACAATAGAAGCACAATAAGGATAATACAAAAAAATTAAGATATTGCTAACTAATCAAAAAATCATTTCTCAATAATTGAGTAACTCATTTCTTAGTTCTGCATAAGAAAGATAGATGTGCGTCTGATCACTACAATAATAATAATAATAATACTAATAATCTTGTTTTGGAGTGGCAAAAGAGTGAAGTAGCCCAAACATAGTACTAAAAAATTGAGTATAAAATCATGTTAATTATTTAGCATTCATTTGGATATCATAATCATACTAATTATTATTATGGTTAGAAATAATTTAGCATTCATTTGTTTTTAAAGTATATTTTTATTTTAAAAATAAATTAAGCATATATTTTTATATCGTAAATAATTATGATAAGATACAATATTATAAAGATTTTGTGGAATAAATTTACATATAAATTGTTTAATTTTTATTTTTTTTACGTATATTTATAAGATAGAAATAGTATATACATATAATTTTAAAATTAATAATTTAGTTCAACAATTCAGACGACCGGAAGATTCGGAACCGTTAACCCAAACATTAGCCTGGATCGGCCGTGACCATGTTTCAGATGAGTAAGACTTCAATATTAATTTCCGAGAAAACTTTTATTTTTTTAACGAACATTAAGCCAATCATCTCCACATAGTATTAATTATCCTCATTTGATTAAGATACTAACATTCCATGTTATATGAATAATCTTCGTTGCAAATTAGCATAATTTTATCATATTTTCAAAAGAGGCAACGTATTATAAAAGTAGAAGCATAACTTTGTTTAGGGGGCATAGCTTCACAACATACCGCATCACAAGTATACACTTGTATTCCACCAACCAGAAATGAAGATTCTGCAGAGACCACAAATATAGTCGAGTAAAAAACTAAAAATAGCTTTTAAGGTCTGCTGAGTCTCACCACTCGATAATCGAGTACAAACAGCAGATATGATTATNAGAAACATGATATAGAAGAAGCTTTCACTAACACAGGCACAGACACACACACAAGTGCAACAGCGTAAATAACACAATTGACCATAAAATGTAAACCAATTCCAAGAAAAAGAACGCTAAGACTGTTGAAAGGATGTTGGATCCGAAACTGAGTACACAGACAAATAAAAATTGATAACAGGGTCAAAACATTCTTCATCATAGAGAGAGAGAGATGTATCTTTCAAAATTATAAATGCTCATTCATATTTGTTCCTACTGTTAAATCCTAATCATCAATATGATCGTGTCATAAAAATAGAAAGCTCACAGGCAGTTTAATGACATAATCTTCTATTGTGACTTGTGAGGGTTATAATTCTCTTGAACTTCTGTCAAATTCCAGATAAAATATCTACTGACTGAACCAGAGGATTTATATTTTGAAAAACAGAAGCCTTTGGATCTCGAAAACCGTAAATTCAAACAATCCTATTGAGCTCCGCACCCCTATAATATTGGAAAAACCTAGATTCAGAAATACTGTTACCTGATCCACTCATTTTACCTCTGCCAAAATTGGTAAACGCTTTCCAGTCTGCAAGAAAAACACGCGGATGAAAAACTTTTATCAGAGAAGAATATAGGAGACAGATTAAAAAAAAAAAAAAAATATATATATATATATATGGTGTTGGGGGATGAAGAAAGGAGGAGAAGATACATAAAGAAACTACATGCAGAAGACATAAAACAAATGGAACCAAATTGACAATCCCTGTCCCACGAATATCCTACTTGTCTGCATTATGGAATGTTTGGCTGACTGAATCGAGTTCCCACTATATTGATCCAAACAATCTCAGAAACATAGCATTTGTTACAATATAACCTGCATTACAGCCTATTAACACCTCTGTTTCAACCTAATTCATCTCAAAGCAAGAATACACATAAAATGTTGACCTACAGCACTCCATATCGCGTCAAATCTCCTCAAGCTTTTCTTCCCTTCGGAAGTATATATAATATGCCAATAAGGCAGTTTTTCACTGATTAATAGTTGTATTAATCTCTCCCCACGAGATATATAAGAGAAATAGCAAACACAAACCACAACCCGCTTAGAGCAAACACTCAACTGATCTTCGTACCACCATTGAAGAACGCTCTTACAGGCTAGGCTAACTACTAAGGTACTGAAACGGCCAGTTCGACCTGAACTGATCCAAAAACTGGTAATGATGAATTGTGTCTATCATAAGATATTGTAGAATTACATTCCTTAAGCAGCAGGCAATAGGGGTGGCAATTTGGCCCAAACCAGCCTTGGCACGCCCCACCCCAAAGCCTATAGAACAGGTCAGGCCGGTCCAGTTTCTAGAAGGGGTCTAACCGAGTCAGCCCCATTTCATAATAAAACAAGTGTGAATTTTCTCTAGAAGTAGGAATAATGTTGGGACTTGGCGCAAAGATTTTTTATTCTGTTTCTTTATTATAAGTGCCTCGGTCCAACACTTTCTTATAAACCCTAGCACGCTATTTTTTTTTTCTCTCTCCACTCTCAGTTTGACGATTCCTTTTCTTCTCTTCTGCAACCAACACAATCTTCTAGCATTTCTCTTGTTCAACGCCACTGGCGGACGCAAGTCTAGTCTGAGAACGCCACAAGTAATCTCAGTTGCTATTGAGATGGATATATAACTGAAGATATCTTGGGGTGTTCAAGTTTTTCTGTAGGTATTTTTCTATTGTAAGTTTTTCTTAGGTTCTGAGCATGGCTTTAGGTAATGCTAAAAATGGTTTCTTCCATTTTTCTTGTAAACAAGGGCTGGAAGAATGAAGGGGAAAAAGAGGTTGGGCCGGGGCTGGCCCGCCCCATGTGGGGCAGGTCATGGGTCAGCCTTGGTCGACCCGCAATGGGTCATGGGGCGGGCATGGAGTCTAGATCACAAGGCAGATCATAGCTCAATCCATTGATTCCATTCCCTAAACTGCAAATTCCAATCTATTGAGAAAAAATCATCTTCGTAGAGATAAGATCCTTCAGAGAATATCAGCAGCCAGACATTTAACCTCAAAACTGTTCCATCCAATTTAATGATAGGTAAAGATTCTACTTATGGTCAATTGCAAATTTCCAATAATATAGGTCTGCCAATAACTAGGCGAGCAACCATTTGACCGCGGAAATAAAACTTTGTAGCAATTTACTTTTGACAACTGATTGACGGAAAGACCAGTGTTTTTAACCACTAGATGTTAAGCCTTGAGAGGAAGTAGGTGTGGAGAATCCTGAGAGCTTTGAAAATATTAGCCTGTAACTACTAGTAGGCAATTTTCTATCCCCCGATTTTCTACTATGGATAGGTAAACCCCAGGAAAATCTTGCGGAAGCACTTTTAGATTAACTAAATTCATAAACCTTGACGAGTATAGGTTTCAAAGAAAACACAAATACCAGAGTTAAAGCCTATTTCAGTTGAAACTATTACAACATAAGACCTATATTTGCAGAAATTGCCACTCTATTGTGCAGACACTGCATTTTGTTCAACTGGTGACATTTACTGCCACATGAACAGGAAAACAAAGACTTCTGCTCCTTAAGATTCCTGATGTAAGAAAGTAATCTCCTTAAAATATAACTGTTTTCTCCTTTAATGTCTCAAATTCCAAAATCTAACTATACCAATAGCAAACTAAAACATTCATATTCATAATAACAACAGTTCATCACCTCATTCCATTTCCAAATTGCTCATCTCCTTTAAGCCACTCTTGCTGATCATGTACTTTCACATAAAATGAGGGAAAGCTATCACAATAACTAGTATGATGTGATTGGTGCAAGCAATTGCAATTACTAGGACTACACCATGTCAGATATTCATTATCCTATTGACTTCCACATCATAATCAACAAGATAAGCAACGTAAGACAAAACACTAAATTAGATTATAAGTAATAAACCCAAATGAATAAGGCTGTTCCAGAACATGTAAGTGTATGCAAGAGAGACGGGACATAGCTGTGGACATCTAAAAGCACCTCAACACAAAACAGAGATATGAATGTACCAAGCCAGGAGAGAGTACCTAAATAACTGGAGGAGAGTACTCGCCTATGAAGTGAACTTGGACTTCATCACACAGCAGACCAACATCCCTCCTTCATCCGTTCAGTAACAGGCCAATGTTTAGAGAACCTTGCTTACCGCACAGGTGATGAGACTCTTATATAACATGAAAATAAACCAGGAATAGGTTTTATAATCTGACTGTAAAGTATGAACAGGGAATTAGGTTGGAGATCCGCATCAGAGATTATTGGTCCAAATATAAATTCCATGCTTGCAGCTGTAGAACAGTCATGAGGATATGCATATCTTAGGGTGAGCCTCTTGAGCATCTGTACTCTGTAGCAACTTTAGTTTGTATATTCCCTATTTGGCAATGTCCAATTCCAAATTTCACAGATGCATACTCAAAAATAGATGATTACTAGAAAATCAATCCAAAATCCTGCCATCGCCAAATTACCAATGCTCTGGAAAGTTCGTGGGCAACAGGGCAAGATAGTCATCTTGACCAAAACAATACAGCTTGCAGAGTTTTCAGTTCCGGCATGATAACAACTGCACAAAGAAATAGTTAGAAACCTTCATAAGTATCAAGAGATATATCCTCCTTGACACACACATCTGAAGCCATTCCAATTCCATATCACCGTCCTGAAAAAGGCAGACATCACCTCTGACTCAAAACTCAACTAGGATTGAATTGATGAACGGAAAGGCATCCAATCTTCCGGCACATCTCCACTTTTTAACCCAATGACTCCAGAGGATGTGAAAGAACAAATATGCAATCATGATATTTCAAGAGATCAGTAATACTATGTTAGTAATACTATGTTAGCAGATAAATTCCCTCACATATAATAGAAAGTCGAAGAGCTCTCTTTATTCCAAAGAAACTGGTTTTGAAACTATGCTAGAAATTTGCTTCAATGTGATCCAACGAAAGCAGAGTACTATGCCACAGCTATCGAGGCTACCTCTTCACCGTCGTCTGAAGATACATACTAACTGGAGAAACTTTCCCATGTCGGTGGACAGATATATCAAACTCTCTTTCGAGTCACATAATTTGTATAGATATAAAATTTTATACAAATTACGATAGAATGTGGAGACTGAAGCCTTCATCTTCAGGAAACCACCTCCAAATCTAATTTCATCTTTTGGTAATGATGACCATAAAGGTGATATTTGATTATTTTTTCACAGCATTCATCTAGTAATCAATGGAAAAGGAAACTTCAATCACCACCCCTTACACTCAAATTCCATCATTTGACAGCAGATATCATCATGCAACTCCATCAATGAATCCTAACCATACAATCTCGCCTAAAATGTAACCAACCAGCTCCAGAGATGTACATAAAACAAATTTATCCATAAAAGAAGGGACATAAACAAATTTCTCTGGCCAATAGCAAAGTGATGATAATATGATGTACGTAGTGAGTATAGCACAAAATATGCTATTAAGTCATGATTATAGCAGAAGGAAGACAAACTATATCATAGTTTAAGACCAATACCTTAATCTCCTAAACAGAAAATCAAAGATAACCAGAAATTTAAGCAATAACCTACAGGGTGTAATACGCACATAATCACACGGTCTTGCCCTTCACCCTACTGGGCAGCAGACAAACAAGACTCGCAAGGTGTGCCCTATATGGTCTAGTGCATAATCTACACATACATCAACGACGACTCCTCTTTGTCTTTTCATGTCCTCCCCATGATGTAGAACTTGAACCATACATAGAACCTTTCTCAAGAGCACCCTGAGAATAAAGTAACATAATAACTCTGCATGGAGCTAGGCTTTTGTGGTGTAATGCAAATAATTGAAGTGTCTGGTCAACAGATCCAAACCTGGTGAATCCCATATCCATCATAAGGGGCAGGGTAGGTAGCATCAGGATTGCTGAACTTCAAACCATATGGTCCACCTGGGCAGTCCAATAGTATACAGTCAAAATAATGAAGGCATCATAATGTCACAACACCTGTCTCTCAGAGAATATTATACTAGTTTTGCGCAAGTATTACAATATTAAAGTAGAAAAAGCAATAGTTTCAATGTTTAAGAAAAATATCAATGTCAATTAACACCTATAAACTATGTATAGCTTCTAAGGGCATCAATTCCAAGAGGCGTATCCATTGCTCTTATCTGAAATGGACCACAATCAATAGGAAAGAAGAAATAAATGAATCACATAATTTTAAACTTTTAAGGATTTCGTACGCAAGTGAACAAAAAATGCTTAAGAGAACTTGGAATAAATAAATGAATCACATAATTTTAAACTTTTAAGGATTTAGTACGCAAGTGAACAAAAAATGCTTAAGAGAACTTGGAATAAGTAATGACCTGCATTCAATGTTCTAGCACCAGAAACAGCAAGCTCAGAACGAAGCTTTTCAACTTCACGAGCCATGCTCACCAAGTTCTTCTCCATCGCCTGTCTTTGTTCCAACAGCTCCACATTTGCCTTCTTTTCATAATCAATGGCACTTCTGTAATTCGAACACGTCAGCTTAAGCAGACATCTTATTGTGGCATGCAGATGTATGCTAGATTATTCCCATAGCACAAACGTTACACCAAATAATGGCAAGAAAACAAACCTAGCTCGCAAAAGCTCCTGATGCAGCCCATCAATCTCAGACCCCAGGACAGGAATCTGCTGGTTATCAGACCTCAGCTTCGCAAGTTCTTCAGAGAGGGCCTGAGCCTGACCCAATAGATCCTGCCTCACTGCATTCAATCTCCGAATCTCTGTTCTAAGTTTTGCAGCCTCATTTTTAAGAGGCTCAGTCGCATGAATGTCAGCCTCCAACTTCCGACCCCTCTCAATAAGCTCCCTAGACTGGAGTTCTTGTTCGGCACGCATATCACCAATGGCAATATTCATTCGGCGCAACTCTTCCTTTGCGGCAGCTAACTCTCGTTCTAAAGTAACTCGATCCTCAACCATCCTCCGGTTATCACCCAAAAGCCTGCGGAGTTCAACGTGACGTATTTCAAGCTCTTCCTCTAGTAGGGCGGGATGGGGAGGCAAGGGACGGGCCATATGACCTCGAGAAACAGGTTGTTCCAGTCGATAACCATATCGGTGATCAAAAGTGTCATGAGGAACTTGATTTCTTCGTGACATATCAACTTATGTTGGAAAGATGGAATTACAGATGTATTAGACTGGAAAAGTGGGAACTATACGAAAACTTTTCATGCAGCAAGTTATTGATTTCATATTCTTCATTCAGTAAAGAGGTAAGTACGGTTCTATAAGAATAAAATGGCCGGACAATTCTTTTCGTGAATTTATAGAACATTAAATTTAGTTTGGAACATTCTAATAATTTCCTTTCCGTATCTGACTAAGCTGCAACCCTCCGAATAACTTCATGCCCATCAAATAACCTTCGAACCAGAAAAAGGTACTAACTCCAGCTCAAACAATCAGTTATTGTGTTTCCAAGACAGACAAGATACTGAAAATCATCAAACATTGGAGTTGGAAATCATCCCCACACGCGCAGACATGCAAACCACAAGTATATCGAGTGGGTATCTAAGGATTTAATAAGCAAGCCTAGTCGAATTAATTCATGAATCACCGGACCACAAAAGGCAATTACAAAACTCACCAACCCCATAACCCAGCTCAATTTCCCGCACAACAACAATAAAAAAATGGATTTTAGATCACAACATAAAGTTGCAAAACAAAGTAGAAAGA